TCTTTTGGGCTGAATAGTTTTATTGTCTGAATATCTGACGGTAATGTGGTAATATCGTCCTCTGTCTCTTGATCAGGATGACTGCCTTTAGGAGTAAAGACTTTCGATAAGTGTGCTACGAAGAGTTCCGCTTTCTCTTTATCGCTATGAGCCCATCGTTCTGGATGACGTATCTGGATTTTTAAAGGCGACACAGGAACTATAGGTTTTTTAGTTGACTTCAGTGGTGTCCAAATGGAGTTTTCGTAGCGATTGAGGTTTCTGAGGTAATTGTGTAGTGTCAGCTCTCTGGACTTCTTGATTTCTGCTCTTAGCTTATTGGTGGCCCTGTTATACACAGTTCTGTCTGCTGGGGCATGACTTAGTTGCCATGTCTTCCTAGCCCGTCTTTTATCTGCTATAAGTTTTTTGATTTCGGTAGGGATATTTATACTTCTTGTTTGTGTAGTCGGAATTGGAGTGGCGTGTAGAGCTGCTTCTTTAAGAATGTTAATGAAATTTGTCAAGGCTATGTCTAGTTCATCAGGGGTTTTAAGACTGATGTGTAAGTTAATGGCTTGTTCTATTTTCATTCGATAATCAGCCCAGTCGGTTCTTCTGTTATGAAGCCTGGGAATGGTTTTTTTATTGACAACTTCAGTACTAATGGTAGCTATTACGGGTGTGTGGTCCGATGAAAGGTCGTAACTAGGGACTATATCCATATANGCAGCTACTCTTAGTTCGTATGCCTTCATTTTTACCTTAATTGCTGTAGGTTGTAGGAAGTTTCTTTACTTCAAATTTTGGTAATTCATAATGGGTTATGTTATTTTTAATAAGTACTCCAGTGCCGGCGTGTGCGGTGTTATCCGGATGACAGGCAAAGTATAATGGGGTATCCTGAAGTATGTTCTGCCAGTAAAGTGGGTTTCGCTTACCAACAGTATGTCTATTGCATTGTGATCCAGAAATATTTTAATTTCATCTTTATGCTGCATTAGACCGTTGGCATTCCAAAGGGCGTGAAACTTACTGTACAGTATTTAAAAAATAGTTATGCATTTGTTATTTTTATCTCCTAGATTCTACAAAGTCATAGGCAGCTAAAGCATGGAGTAATGAAGCGGTTTAATTTATAATAAAGCTCCATTTTGTGTTCAGTTTCCGCTAGCACGGAAAAAGAACAAGTCAAAGACATTACTAATACATTTAACTCGTGTACCCTCATGTTGTATTAGGTAGCTGTAACTTTCCTATTACTGAATATGCATAAATATTGAAAGCCAGAACTGAAATCAACTTGTACGAAAAATATTTTGGACTTCTGTACCACGACACACTCTACTTGTAGCCACACTCAGTAACCTCAGTAATAATCCCAGAATCCTCTGCCGGTAATATTTCATAGACATGACAGCAGATGGCACCTGTCTACAGCGGTGGTCGTCACAGAGCGAAAGTTCAATTTACGAACAGGTCCAAATAATGCAGACATTTCCTGCACCAAAGTCCGGGGAAACATGCATGAAGACATAAAATTAAGAGAGGAAGGGAAGTAGAAAAGAAACGGTTCTGGGATCAAATCCAAGTCTCTACGCAGATATATTGGCCTCTGCTTGCGCCTTGTCAATGTGTGTTCACCCTCTACTGAAATGAGGGATAAATTAAGTTGTTGAAAGAAATGGAACGCTTAAATCAACTTCCGGTCCATTAAGTCCTACTTTATAAGCAAAGATAACGCTTGCTTAGTACTACAGTCATATAATGTGGTACGAAAGGGGGGGGGGTACATAAATGCACGGTAGAAGAAAAATGTATTTATTTAATATTAAATCAGATGGTAAATACAATAATTATTGTGCTCTCGGGATTTCCACATAATTTATGTATAATATAGCAATTGGGAAAAGCGAATATAGAAGAGATTCTGATTATTGTATCAGTGTCGCTTGAAATATGTTACAAGGCTCTTCCCTTGTGCAATGAATTGTGTTCTGACACCTGACATGCATCGAGCAATATGTACACAAGTTGCAACATAAAAAGAACCGTCATCCCATGCTGCTGTAGCAACACAGATGCAAGGTAAAATTCATTGTGAGGTGTGGCATCACATGTTACGCCATGTTCATTCAGTGTGCCGGGCAATCATGGGGAATTACCAGAAAACATTTTGTTATCTAATGCAAGAGAGACCTAAGGTAATAACGAACATATACACAAGTGTCTAACATTTACGTTTTGTGTTTCCTACCGCGCACCCAACAGAGAAAACGCGATAACATTACGAAATTAAGCTCGTACTGCTACCAATACGTACGGTGGCCAGGACTGTTAATGCGATGCGCAAATATTGCGGTAGAGTTCTGAATTCTATTTGTATCCCCATTCAAAATTATTTGAATTACAAAAATGAACTTTACATCCTTAAGCTCGGAGATATACTATTTTTAAACTTTACCTATTATCTACTGAGATGGCAAGGTAAACAACTACATCCCGAACGAAGAATGGCTACTCCTGCTGGCTCCACTCAGAGGTCAGATTCGATACCATGAGTGTCTCAGGCAACCATTCCAAATTACGAATCCCGTGGCTTCATGTCGAGAACGTGGAAATACTAATTCAGTACAAGGTAACGTTGTCCCTGTGTTTAACTAATTAAGCACTAAGCCGTGAAGAGGTATGAGGGAGTGGATGTAAAGATTCACGTATTCTTACACTCGGCACTAGTTGGAGGTGAGTGGTCATTTTCACGCCCCGGCCGCTTTACCCCTGGTTCCCCTTGGATAGGAGGCTGGTTGGGCCCCAGAGCCAGATTGGACGACGTTGAGAAGAGAAAAATCGCGACCCTACCGGGACTCGAACTCCGTCCCCTCGCTCGTGCAGCCAGTAGCCAGTCACTATAGCGACTACGCTATCCCGGCTCCCAGTTCAGCAGACATTGAAAATGTATGAAGCGGCTTCTTCAGTCATTCTTGTCTGTGTCGCAAACCGCAAGGCTGACAGACTCAATTTGTGTTGCCTGTACAATTTCGTTCGAGACATTTCTCGCTGCCATGCACATTTATCGATTTACGTTCGAGATGCATGCAGGCAATCACTTAGTTCTCCGTGTCAAATGCCCGTAAACTTCGTTCGACTTTAAGCAAGATTCGAATATGCTGACTGACTATAATAATAGTAGATTCAGACGTCCGAGTTGTTACAAACAAGCAAGCAGAGGGACGGAGAGGCAGAGAGACACACATGGGCACGGAAATCGGCATATGTTTTGCAAGATTTCTTTGCGGATGCAACAAAAATGTTTCGCGATCAGAATATATATAGTTCGTAATATCTTCTGGATCAGTACATAATATTACTCCGTCAAGCCCATACATCGTGACTAATACCAAAATGATGTAACAGACATGCAACCATTAACAAGAACTGCATAGCCTCCAACCCAGCTTATTACGTAATTTAAAAGTAATATGGTTTGCTGTACAAACCCTTTACGTTACACGAAATTATGGCGATAAAAGATACAAGCTGAAAGCTGACCGAAAAGTCAGTGATCAGATATATAAGTTCTGAGATAATCTAATACGTTTCGCATATCTTGTGTCCTCCGTATGCACTTGTAATTTTCTTTGATCAGATCCGGAGTAAGGTAGCAACATTGACGTGATATCTAATGTTTAACATAGCGCAATGAATCAATGCCTTTTCATGGCTGCTCCTGAGGTGCAACTGGCCCGTGCTACAAAGTACTTCTTTGTTAACTTTCGCTCCTCCTCACAATATTCCGGAAGCACTGAGCGCCTTTAAATAATTTTAATGCTTTCATATGTGGCATTTGTCATTTACTGATTGGTCTCAAATTAGTACAACTACGCGGGACAACGTTTGCCAGGCATACGGGCCATGGAATTTAAATTCAAAATTTTGGAACTTGAAACTGAATCCAGTTTTTTATTCACACGTTTTAAACACAGTCTCATTTGACATTGTCTTAGAATGTCGTTCATATACATATATGAAGGAAGCTGTGTCACTGTTTTGGGTTTGAGGTACCCACAACGGTGTCTACAAAGAATCTTCTAATTTCTGGGATGTAACGTCGTGTAGTTCGGTAAAATTCGACAGAAGTTTCGAAGGAAAATATCGCTTCAATTTTCAGTGTCGAAAACCACGGCTCCTAGTTTGCCTTCCTTGACCCTGAAGATCCATGCGATGTGTTCTCTCGAAACGTCGGTCAACTTTAACTGGACTACACGGCCTGACATCCCAGGAGACAATACGTTCAACATGCCTCTTGCGTTTCCTCTGTACTACAGAGGCTCTAATAAAAATGTCAAAAGTATAAAATTCACTCCGTAATCTTACCAGTAAGTACGGTTGCTATGGATGTTAATGCGAGACGCAAACTTTGTGTTACAGTTGTTGGATGTGATTCAAATTCTCTTCGCGTTGTTTTTAATTACATTGGTGAATTGTAGTTTCTTAACTCAACTGTTATTCCGGCTTTATATATTCAGCTCCTATATGGAGCGGTACTGACAAGGAAAGCGGCCACATCCGGCACTAAGAAAGTTTATCTATGCGTGCTCAACCACACAAACTCCTGTCTGCGTATACACCTAATTTGCCTCGTATTTCGAACCAGCCTATAGCTGAGCGCTGTTTAACTTGAACTACTGACACAATCAATAGTTAAATAAGTAACGGCTACAAAATATTTCCTAATCCAAACACAACGAAAACCTAAAATCACAGTGAAAACACTGTTCCGATAAATCACAGTGTCAACCAAACATGACTGTTCTCTCAGGGACGAATGTATGAATGAAATATCGGCCAACATGAGACTTAGTTCCCTTCTCTTCAAATTGTCACATTCCCATGATTAGCGCCTTGCAATTTACAGATCTGAGCTCACCCGTAACGCTGTCAAGCAGAATAATGGTCATCTGTGATTCACAGCTGTTGGGTATAAATACAGAGGGGCTGGGCGTCGGACCGAGCACCTTCACATCCGCTGTCAGCGCATCATGTTCAGGCTCTCAGCTCCCGTCCTCGTGGCCATCTTCTGCCTCACAGCAGCTTCTCCTGCGGTAAGTCACAGAGCACGTCGTTAAGCATCAAGCCCAGCGGTAACACGGGGGTCAGGTACAATACTGTACTGAATGGGGAACTATGGAGCTACCGGGAGCCGTTTCAAAGTATTAGGCAATTCTTACATGTCTCTTCTCCAGAGATCCACACATCCTCCTGTCCAGTAGGTATTGAGGGCGCTGAGTCGCGGGTAAAGCGGCCAGGGCATGAAGCTGACAACCCACCTCCATCTAGTCCCGAGGTAAAGAATGGTGCAGCTATACCTACACTTCCCCATAAGTCTTCTTGGCGTGGTACTTAAATAACTAAGCACAGGGAAATCACTGAGTAACCTCAATGGGGAGAACCGGGATCTGCAGACGATTTTCGCACTGGAGTGCACCGGGAGACCAGACCTAACATGAATATCGTTACTTATACAAAACCTATTGCTGAATACACTACCAGCTCATCACGAATGTGGTATCCTAGTGTATAACTCGGCACTATCTAATTTCGATAGAGAAAACGTCTTTAAATTTGATTTGTTTCATTCTGGTCCGTCACACTAACAATTATAAATACCAAACACTCCGTCCAATGTGACATATAAGTTTTTACTAGGTTACATGTTTCGGTCCTTACGGGCCATCTTCAGAGGGAACATCACTACAAACTGGAAACTATCATCACAGTAGGTGTTTTGATTTAAAATACATACACTTATATCCTATAATGCACAGTACGCATAAAGTTGAACGTTTCACAATCACAGCAGCTTCCTGGTGTTGTAATTTAAAAGTTTCTAGATGTTATTTAAAAAAAAAACTTATTGTCAATAGTTAATTTTTTTTAAACCATGTAGGTTCGTGTCCGTACTCATATCGTCCTTCTTGTGTGGGGCAGATTTTGTGCCACCTGTCTATCTTGATGAGGAGGTTCTTGATGTCGTCCAGGGTTTGTTCGTGGCTTGCTGTGTTGTGTGAGTGAAAACAACACAGCACGTAGCAAAACTTATATGTCACATTGGACGGAGTGGTTTGTATTTATATGTATTTATAAAACGTCTTTAAATAACCAACTCGAAAAATAAAAAACGTATGACGTCACTCATATAAATGGAATACCTGAGCTTGACGCATGACTTACATGTACTAAGTATACTAAATTTGCTTATCAACAGTTAATATTTCGAAGCCTCAAATTGATATAAATAATACTTAGTATTCAGTTCGTACCTCACAGGAAACACATTACGTCTCCGCTACAAAGACCAACCGGTTAATGCTGTTTAGGAAAAGCTTCTATGTTCATTCCGAGAACCATACGAAACAAATGGTCAAAATTCGACTATAGCCGAATATTCGGCAGAACATATGCATCGATAAAGTTATTTGTGTCTCGGCCTTCTTGGCGGAACGGCATGGTGGAATCGGAACACTTCTGGGAATCCTGCACAGCTTTAGATGATGTGGATAACGGATTTCAAATGTTGTGCAACCCAGCGTCTGTAGCCTAATTTCGGAGGAAAACGCGGAATTAGTCGGGGGGGGGGGGGTGGCTGAGCAAAACCAAGCAAATCCCAGACGGATACAAGTTAGAAGTGCTACCACTGGAGCCAAACTGGTCCGTCTTGCGGGTGCGACACAGGCTTTCAGCTCCTACCTACATTAACATATTGCATAATACTTCTGTCAGGGACTAGGGGAGTAATTTAAATTTGACCACTATGACTTTCACTCACCCTGTAAACCAATTCAGCCTGTTACCTCCAGTACCAAGAAATTTCCAGTTCATAAACTACAGTTCCTTTTCTTACAATATGTGTAATTTTCAGTGAATTACACATGCAGTAGACATATCCAATTTCGTGGCACGATGCTCAGAAGATCAGGCGTATTCCCCAGTCATTCTTCACAGATGGCGCCAATAAGGAGAACTGCTACCACATTGTTTTGCTAACATGCGGATACTCCTGTGCGAGCACTTCAATAGAACCGATGAATATTACCTTAATTTAGCTGTGGTGTTTATTTATAGCTACGTCGAAAAATTCCGAAGAATCGATTTATAAATGAATCAATGGGAAGTGAATATTTTACATTCAACTCCACACCAGGCCCAGACGACAACGTTTCGCTGAGATGGGAAACGTTGGAACACAATATATAATTCACAGAGCTTGCTGCAAGCAGAAGAGTGTCGGGTTAAAACCAATCCTGTGTTCCACTCGGTGTCGCCAACATGCACCAGAGCTGCTCGGGAAAGCTATGTCACTTTTTGTGCAGGGACTGTAGTTCGTTTCCGATGTGCAAAAAGAGAATATTGATGTGACTGAGGAAACTACAGTAGTTAAATCGGTGAAGTGGGTCCTGCTTTTATTTAAGAATTATGTTGGGAAGATTGAGGATCAACAGTGTGGGTTTCGACGTAACATATCAACTACTCATCACATTTTTGCATTCGTCAGATGCTAGAGAAAGAAACGGGAGTAAACTGAGACAATATATCAGCCATAAACAGACTTCAAGTACATCTATGATTCAGTTTGGAAGGTCGGTATTCTCATAGAGCTTAGGGTGTACAGGAAACTTATTAGGCTTACTAAATTGTGATTAAATAAACCCTGCAGTAAAGTCCGTAAAAATTTGCCTGATACGTTTCCTCTTCAAAATGGTCTAAATCAAGGAGATGCTTCATCGCCAATGCTTTTCCAATTTTTCTGTAGAATACGTCATTAGGAAGGTCTAGGAAAACCAGGAGGGACTGAAATTGAATTGGAAACATCAGCTGCTGGAGATGATGTGAATCTACTGGGAGATAACATAGATACCGTAACGAAAAACACAGAAACTCTAACTGGCTTTAGTAAGAATGCTATCTAGAAGTAAACGCAGAGAGAACTAAGTATAAATCGCTGTTCCGTCACCAGAATGCAGGGCGAAATAATGACATAAAGATAGCTAAGAGATCCTTTGAAAATGGGGCACAGCTAAATTTTGGAACGACAGCAACAGACCAAAATTTGATTCGGGGGGAAATTAAGAACAGATTAAATTCCGATAATGCTTGGTACCATTCGTTCCGAAAAAGCAAAATTTTAAATATGCAGAAATATAATTTCGCCTGTAATTGTGAATGTGCATGAAACTTTGTTCCTGAATATAAAGGAAGAATACAGACTGAGCGTGTTTGAGAATAGGGAGCCAGGGAGAATATTTGGGCCCACAACGGGCTTGTGGAAACTACATAGTAATTAGGATTTTCATAACTTATACTCTTCGCCATGTATAATTAGAAAGATAGAGTAAAGGAGGATGGCATGGGCAGGGCTTCTAGTACGCATGAAAGAGAACAGGAATGATTACAGAGTTTTGGTGGGGAAACCATAAGGAAGTCCACCACGCCACACCATGAAGATTTACGGCGAGCAAGAGAAAGCACAGATTCACGCCACTGCTGCTTTACTCCCTGGAAAACAGCAGCCAGTACCTAATATATAGAGGGCTGGGTAGGCCCCAGAGCTTGTCTGGACGATATGGATAAGAGAAAAATTTCTTGCGTCCGCCCGGGAATCGAACCCTAATTCCTCGGTCAATTCCTTAACCTAGTCACTGCACCGGCTGAGAGACGTTAGACAAAATTTAGCAAAGGACTGTCATGTAGCTGTATGTAACAACGCTAAACTGTATATCTACGCGCTTCTGCGTCCAAAGGCTGTATACATTTTATAAGACGTTGAATACAGTAAACATTGTTTATTGGCGACAGTACTGCAGTGACAACTTTATGTTTCAGGACGAAATGACCGCTGTCGTGAACAAGTGCCAGACGTCGCAAGGCATCTCCGACCGTAAGTGTGACTCCTTCTGCGGCTACTTCTGGGAATGCCAGGCAAATTGTTTCTAATTAATGTGCTTGGCAATTTGTATTCTGTTCTTGTTGCAGTTCAGAGCATCATGAATGAGGCGTCAATGACACTGAAAGATGAGTCAAATGAAGCTGGCAGGGTAAGATATCTTAGATACACGTATTTATTTATTTGTTTTACTATATTTATATAGAGAGGTCAGAATAGTTCCTATCTGTTCATAATACATCAGAAACATCCTGAACTGCGATTTTATGGGGAATTAGAAACGCACCCAAAACCTCTACCGCAACACTTACACATCGCTTTAACAGCCGTGGCTACAGTACACACTAGTAAGACAAGGAAGTGAATTTCGTGATACCTACGGGTGTTCTCTGTTATGTTCGCGGTGAGAAACTGGAAAATGAAAAGCAATAAATATTGTCATGTGTTGGGTGTGTGACACGTGACAAATAATTTCACGTCCATGATTTATTCTAACCGTCTTACAGTGCATACATTTATTCACCTTACTCTTCTCTCTTGCACTACATGTTTCAGCACAAAAGTGCCATCTTCAGGTGCTTTTCGATGTACGTCAAACTACTTCATTGCATCATTGTTTGACGTACATCGAAAAGCACTTGTGCTGAAACATGTAGTGCAAGAGAGAAGAGTAAGGTGAATAAATGTATGCACTGTAAGAGGGTCAGAATAAATCATGGACATAAATCAGTGCAACAGGACGCTAAAATATAACATTAAATAATTTCACGCCTTATTTGATATAGCGAATTTATTTAACACTCGCTCTTACACTTACACAGTTTACAATTTTACAACTACTGCCATCTGCAGTATCACACTTCTCCTGCTGGAGTCTCTGCCATGCACTGGAAACAACCGGACTAGGCGAATGCTACAATTCAACTGACTGGTTAATCGTTACTCACTAGTAACTGGCTCACTCGTAACTGGCTGACTTTCACGGGAACAGCAACACAACGCAGGTAGCCTACATAATTGTTCTCAACTGCATCCTCCAATAAAGGGATCGCAAGGCAAGCAGAATTATTTCAATTAGAATTACAATATGATATTTAAACATGTACGAGTGCAGACAGTCAGATAGGCAGCAAAACCCGCGTGTAAATCCGCTAGAATTCTTCAAATACAGACATATTCAAGATAACTGCAGGGCAGAACAGCGCTGAGATTTCAGGCGCACTGCTCTTATGGAATGCAAAGACTTCGGAGCTATAATTCCACTACAATCTCGGAGTGGCTATTATAGCGAGAGGGTTTAATTGCTATATAGCTTAAAAAAAGATTAGGAATAAAATATAATTAAACTTTACGCACATGCACAGAAACAAAAATTGCTCTACTGTGCAATGGATTCTCTCGCAGGGAGGAAGAAATGATGGTAAATATATCGAGTGGACAAGTACAGAGTAGAGATAAAGTGAATAACATGAAGATGTCATCGATTGATGTCGAAACAAAAAGTGATTACCATGAAATAAAATTCATTTACTGTAAATGTTTAAGCTATGAAGGATGAATAAAAGACATCTGAATAACATACAAAAATTCAGTGAGTACCTCACAGGAAACTCATTACATCTCCGCTTTAAAGCCCAACCGATTAATTCTGTTTAGGAAGACAGTCACTGTTTATTGTGAAAACCATACGAACACACAGATGCACTCTGTGGGCAGAATGCAGACTTGTTCAATGTAAAATCGGGTGGTACATGAAGTTTCCGCTGCGCTTTAAAATGCTGAGGGCGTAATTCTGAACATTCTTCTCCAGTTTCGTGTACTCTATGTCAATTCATAGCACTGCCCTGAACGGTATTTATATATGTGAATTTCACTCAGTCAAAAGCCATAATCATTTAAATGTGTCTGATTGAAAACGTTCTTTCGTTTCAGTGCTTCTTAGAATGTCTCATGACAGAATTTGGAATTGTAAGTATATTTGTTCCAAGGAGGCTGAGAGGGGCAGGGCATGTAGTACGAATGGGGGAGAAAAGGAATGCACAGAGGATATTGGTGGGAGAGCCAGAAGGAAAGAGACCACTGGGTAGACCAAGGCGTAGGTGGGTGGGCAATATTAGAAGGGATCTTAGAAAGATAGGATGGGATGGATTGGATTGATCTGGCTCAGGATAGGGACCAGTGGGGGGCTCTTGTGAACACGGTAATGAACCTTCGGGTTCCATAAAATGCTGGGAAATTCTTGAGTAGCTGCAGATTTGTCTTCTCCTCCAGAAGGGCTCAGCTCCGTAAGTAAGTAAGTATATTTATTCGGTACTGTGTGAACATAAGCTTATTCTAAATGCAAGTTTTGAAAATGTAAGTAAAACCTTGAGGCAGTGGACTACGATCATCCAAAGAACAAAAAATATATAATACTGTATAAGAAAGAAATTTGATATCACAGTTTTCCAGTGTGTTCTGTTTATTTTGCAGCTTAAAGGGAACAAGCTTGACGCTGGCGCCGTAATTGACCAGGCTAAGGACATGATCCAGTATGCCAAGACGCACGGAATAAGATTAGATGAGAATGAGATGAAATCTTCAGTTGAAGACTGCAGCAGGAAAGGTAAGAATCTCCATTCATTGTTACCGCGACTTATGTTCACAAAACTAAACTCTGGGAAGTCTTCTCTGAACCTCAGCCCCAAACCGTTACCCCCACAATGACTGAAACACAGAGCGGGACCCTTCTGGAGGACTCTATTTGTGGTCTTTTGGGTTCAGTCATTTCATGGGAGAAGGCCTCCTGTATTTTCAATTTTTCGAAAACTTTGCATTATTCCCGAGAAGCTAACATTCTCTCACCTGGTCAAGAAGTATCCGCCCCTCATGTAACCACAAGGTGCCTTAGTGTTCACAAGAGCCCCCCGCTGGTTCTGTTCTGAGTTAAACGACCATAAAATGCTGACACACACACGCACACACACACACATATTCATTCATCAGTAATCTGTCAGACGACAGGTCTACAGTCTCTTCCAAAACAGTTCCTCCACTTAATGCGATCTAGAGATCCTCTTCTGTCCCCAAGGTCATCCAGCATCTTCTGACGTCTTCTTCCTCGTCTTCTTGTTCGTATACATGGCGTCTCTGTTTTTGGAAAGAGACTATGTAGGAAAAGTGATAATGTGGTGGTTTTTCCATTTTCTTTGCACATCGCAGTACAACAGCCGTTTAAACCACTTTGGTCACGCCTGTTGCTATACGAACTTGAACCATCTCGAGCATCATTTGCTCTGTGCTTCAAGTCGCTGCTGATGACGCTGCTTCCGACATCAGTTGCCGGCACACACACACACACACACACACACATTTAAATAACGTTTCTTGAAAATCAACTGTAACATTCAGTTTCCGCCTACGACTAGTTTCAGAACATTTCTTACAATATTCGTTACAACTCCGCTGAAAACTATAATACCATACAAATTTTATTAGATAACAACGCAGGATTGTTCAGGCATTTAACTCCTCGGATAAACCTATACCTGTACCCAGTTAACACACAACAACAACTATAGGCGTATGAATTTCTGTGAGGTACCGAGCAGGCTTTCTCAGCGGTAATGCTCCGGAAGTGTCACATCTGCTCTCCTGCCTCAGGCGGTCCGTCCGAGTAAACGCAAGGAGAGTAACTGGATTACACTTCCTTTCAAATCTATCCCGTTCATCATTCATCCTCCTGCCATTCGAAACTGGTATAGTCCAGACACTGAGTGAATCCTTCAACAAACCACAATCTGAGACTAATGAGAGCATTTCAAATTCGAGTGTTAAACCTTCCGTAAAATTTCGGCAACTGCATACTATAATCCTGGCAACAGAAGCAAAAATTCGCAGTGAAGAACGGGAAGTTCTGTTATATTAATTATGAGACGAAACGAAAAACTAGTCCGCGCCACAGCTCAAGCGGTTAGTCGCTGGCTTCCACCGCGGCGGCCCGGATTCGATCCCGGGTCTGGTCAAGTGGGATTTATGGTGGACAAAGTAGCGCTGGGGCAGGTTTTCCCCGAGTATTTCGGTTTCCCCTGCCAATCTTCATTCCACCAACTGCTCCACAATCACCCTCACCTATCATCTGGTGCTGGTACAATAGGCCAGAAGTGGCCACAGTACAAGGGACTTAGTCCCACCCCACTAGCAAAAAAAAAACGAAAAAACTGAGCTTCCAAAGAAAAATAAGCATTTTGCAATACAGAACTGATGCAGCCTCTCTGCGCAGATTGTGCCAACTCCTGAGACAGCGTCAGAACTGCTTCACTTCTGTTCTAACGTCTGTTTAAGCCCGGTCACATGCAGTTCGCAGTTCAAGAGGAACTTGCTCCCCTTCCAACAAACAGGATTGCTCATAAGTCCGTGAAACATTTTAAAAATTCATAACACATAAACTATGCATCGGATCATGGTAATTCTTACCCCGATAGAGAATGCATCCTCCAAGTCTTTTTAAAAGCCTCCATTGCCTGCTAATCTGAGGGCTCTTCGCAACCGTATCACCGCTGCTGTGGCTCTGATCAACCGTGATATTCTGACACGGTTGTGGGACGAAATGGATTATCGCATGGATGTCTGCCGTATCAGCAAAGGTGAACACATTGAGCATCTGTGAATTATGTGAATGAAACTTTGGTGAGTTTATCTCTATTTCAGTGTAATAAAATTTACTATCCGTTGCGTAGTTTATTTATTGTAAAATTTCAAAATGTTTCACTGACTTATGAATAACCCTATATTCTGCTCCGCTGTTGTAAAGCACTGAGCAGACACGGCCTTTGGAAGAACTCTTAATTTGGTCTCGAAATATGGCCTACAGTGGAGAGATTTTGCTCTCCATTCAGAAGCTAACAGAGACCATGCGCTTACAAATGTAACGACTTCTTTGTCTTGTCTAGCTGCCTCATTCCTGCCTTGAAACAACTGAATAGGTTAGGGTCCTTCTTTAGATATTAATAGTCTTTCAGCTGGCTCAGAATCTGCCCGCATTTTAAGTAATCCGAAGGTTCTTTGTCATCACACGAAATCCCCTCACCGGTCTCCATCCAAACTTTCATTTTTACATACAAAGCTTTTCAGATCCATTTTAATATTATCCTCCCATCTTAGCCTAGGGCTTCCACTTTGTTTTTTGCCTTTTGGTTTTCAGGCTAAAATTCTGTGCACCTTTCTTATCCTATCCATGTGTGCTTCAAGCTCTATTCCACAAGCACTTCCTCCCTCTTCCTGCCATCCTGTTCAAAACACATTCAGCGTAAGAAGACTGTAGCACGCATGCGAGAAGAATGCATACAGGGTTTTGGTGGTAAGCCCAGAGTGAAAGAGACCAACAGGAAACCCTATATGTGGTTTGGGAACACATTGGGGTGGTATGGAATGTATCTATCTGGCTCAGGGTAGGGACTGGTGGTGAGCTTTTGTGAACAACGTAATGAACATTCGTGTTCAATAAAATATGAGAAAATTCTTGAGCAGCTGAAGGACTAATGGCTTCTCAAGGAGGACTCAGCTCCACTGAGTTTGTTAGTTAGTTAAATGTTAAGTTCAGAGACCACGTTCAATGCTCACACTCCTGTTTTCGCAGCTTGTACTTCTGTGCTCTAATATCTGTACGGCAGACTATGGCACCCCAATGGTCCTCCACAGCAAGGGGTGTATAATTTTGATGAATTTAAATCAGCAAGGCTGCGTGTGAAGCATGTAGCAGCAACTTCAAGACTTAAATTCGTTTGAATGTTATTGAAACGTTCATTCTCCACCACGCAAGAAACTTAATGTAAAAGAAAAGGAAAAAAAAGTAAAGGTATCCCTGTAACAGGCCGAAGAAACCCATAGGGTTGTGAGATATTGAGGTTCCCACATGTTTTTACACAATCGGCTCATAGATGGCGGCAAGGTTGTCGGCCTTACGCGCCGGCCGCCCTTTACCCCCAAGAATATTCCTGGTACTCATTTCCGTTAGAGGCTGAGTCGACTCCAGGGCCATAGTGCGGCCGGAAGGATTAGGTCAACTGAAAAAAATCCAATGACCTCATCGGGACTTAAACCCGCGACCTTTCGGCTTGTAGCATAGAGCCTCAACCAACTACGGTACCGCGTGCCCCGAAAACATAACGCAGTTACCAAAAACATCAGAGTTTATTCTGAGAACCGTATGGAACAAATAAACATGCTGCGTTGGAGGAAATTCAGTTTCTTAACGTTAAAGTAAGGCGGTACATCTGGTAGCCACTGCGGTTTAAACGATTAAACGATTTCCTTTGCCATGGGTAGGTTTTTACAAACGTAAAATACAAATTCAATTGAAATCCAACGACTATAGGGCAAAGAACTAATTCCAGGCAGATGAGTGAAAGACATTATCTTGTTTCAGACGGAGAAGGGAAATGCATGAAGGCCTACAGAATGTGGACCTGTTTGAACGACTTCGTGCAGAAGGTAAGACCACTGCCTGCCTGCAGACAGCTAAGTGCTAAAGTGTCTCACGTCAAAGCTGGAACATTACGGTATGCTAAGTAACTGAACGTATGCCAGTTCCATTCAAAAGTATTTTAAGTTTCCCCTGTTTGAGTGAAAATCTCTTAAGTGTGTGGTTAGACATGCTTATTAATGCAAAAGAATCTCTCTCGCGTCTCATACTGATGGCCATTACAGCACCCAGCACTACCTCAAGCAGGGCACAGGCCTAAAAGTACATGCCACCAAACTTATTTTTATTGCTAGTGGGGTGGGACTAAGTCCCTTGCACTGCGGCCACTTCTGGCCTATTGTACTAGCCCCAGATGATAGGTGAGGGTGATTGTGGAGCAATTGGTGGAATGAAGATTGGCAGGGGAAACCGAAGTACACGGAGAAAACCTGCCACAGCGCCACTTTGTCCACCACAAATCTCACTTGACCAGACCCGGGATTGAACCCGGGCCGCAGCGGTGGGAAGCCAGCGACTAACCGCTTAAGCTATGGCGCGGACTTTGCCACCAAACTTCAACAAATATTCAAAATACGTGAATTTCTAAATAAACAACAATCTAATATTTCGTGTTTGAATCTATAGGGTTGTGACACCATGTAGCGTGGTAGGCGGATACAAACATTTCGCAGCCATATGCAAACTCCACCTTCAGGTTTATGGTGAGATTAACCCTTAAAAGGGAAAAAATATGCTACTTCGAAACGTTGCCGCCCACCTACCAGACTGCACGGTGTCACAGTTCAGAAGATTGCAATATGAATCTTCACCGCCATTAGAACCTGAAATCTTTTGTGTGATATGAGGTAACTATGAACATTACCGTCTGGAATGTGGTGGTGCGCAGCCTGGTCTAAGCTTACCGACGTTTCAGAGGAATCTACAATCACGCAGGAAGTACAATAATACTCTAATTGCTGCCTTCTTTCACGGCTTACTATTCGACTGTGAAGATTACGGCAGTACGATCCTCCGAAACGTCTGTATGTTTCTGCCAGACTACGCGGCGTCGCATCCCAGAAGATTCCATTTTAATTTGCATAATTTATGGTACAGAGTTATCAAATATTCTCTACATAATTCTTACTTTTTTCAGCAATTATTTTAATCTCTACATTAGCTTAGGTACATCAGTTTTACATGTGGACGAGATAACTTCCCACCGTCGTATTACTCATGTTGCAAGAAGTGAAGTTCGTCCTGTACTTAATTAGTTAAGCAACATGCCATGAAGACTTAAGGGTGAGTGCAGGTATAGCTTCACCTTTTTTTACCTCCGCACTAGATGGTGAGTGATCAGCTTCAGGCCCTTGCCGCCATCGCTACCCATTGGATAGCCTAGTAGTAACGAGGTCAAGAAAACGTGGGTCTATACATCCACTCCCCCATACGTCTTCTTGGCATAGTACTTAATTAGTTAAACACGGGGACAACTTTATCTTATTTCATATGTCGCTTTTATACAAAGGTGTAAAGGGTTCAGAATGTAAACTCTCAATAAAAACATTCAAATTTTACAGCTGTAAATTCGAAGAAAGGATCGAAGGCTGTAAACTTGTAATTACGCGTCTCGTGTAACATTGCTAAGCAATTGAGGACGCGGCCCTATGCCCTTGCCTCTATGCAAATGTTGAAGCAAAATGCTGCGTTGACACCTTGAATGGACACTCCCAGTGAGTCTGGGGTTAGGGGGTCGGAATTCTTGAGGAACTAACAGTCGCTCATCTAGTCAAGAAATCCTTTCCCTTCACGGATCCTAAAGTTTATTAACGCGAAGGGCCATGTGACATCGTACAGTCCGGCAGAAATCAGTCTACGTTTCGGAGGAGCTTACTGTCGCTGTCTTCAGGTTTGAAAAGTATTCTGTGGAGGAAAGCAGAGCACGCTTTAGAAAGGAAAATCTCTGCGCCGAAAAATACACTTCTACCAGAACACACGACGGCACAATCTTTATAGTCGCCATCGCAAGAGTCTGAAATCCTACATTGCTGCGTCCACAAGGATCCGCCCCTTTGTAACGTGACGCGACATGACTCCAAAGCTTGAGGGCCACCATCTTCTGCCTGTCCGCCACCTTGACTGGCGCTAGTTCAACATTACTTGCCTTAAAAATGCTTAACGCTTGCTATTCTGTCATTATGTAACTTCACAATCACAATTGGTAGCAGTTACGAATAGCACCAGAAGATGGTAGCAACAAATAGTAGTGAAGGGTAAGCTTGAATTGGTACTGCAGCGTCCATTTTCCCAATGGTAGTTCATAGCATGTATACAGATAGCAGCATTGCTCACTGCACGGCTTCTTCTTCTGAGCAGACTACGGACAATTCTGACAGGTAAATTAAAAGTTGGAAAAAAGTGACACAACACGGAGGACAGGAGTAGTAATTGGAGCCCGAAAAAAAGGATGGGGGCCCATACATGCGGGACTTCTCCATAAGCAGAGGCCCCATTGTGGTCTGAGGGCTTCCAGAGCCATCCGAAAGCAAAATGTGGTCACGATTCCCGCTGGACTCGGAACCAATGATCACTGCTCTGGAGATATCCAGCGGCAATTTAGTTGTCAAGTCAGTCAGAGGCCCCATGTAGGGCCTATCCCGTCAGTGACCTGTCCAGTATTTCGTTAGTGTAGCTCCCAAGGCCGCGCCATAACTCAAGCGGTTAGTCGCTGGCCTACTACCACGGCGGCCCGGGTTCGATCCCGAGTCGGGTCAAGTGGGATTTTTGGTGGACAAAGTGACGCTGGGGCGGGTTTTCTCCGAGCACTTCGGTTCCCCTGCCAACCTTCATTCCACCAAATTCTCCATCATCATAATAATCCGGGGCAGGTACAATAGGTCAATCAGTGGCCTCCGTGCCGAGTGGACCCAACAGGACTCCACCCCCAACTAAGCGAATTACTGTAGCTCCCACTATTTATGCTGAATGCTGCACTTTTATGGTTCGCTTTCAGACTACTGGCTTGCCGCGATAGAGACGGGCGGTCACAGGTTGCCAACCCTTCAGCCTCAGAAAGCAAGAGCGAGTTCCGACCCGCAAAGTACAGAACTGCACATGCGCCTCGTCTCCCTGTCGGCTCCTAACAAGCGTCCTCCTATTCTACACTGATATCAACGAGTTTTGTTGCAATCTACACACTTCATTTTTCCTATAAACATGCCCAGTGTTTGATTATATACGTTATGTACAAAATAAAGTGTTTGGTAGTTCATAATTCGTGGTTTGTTGCCAATAAAAAGTATGAGTAACTTGGAAACACAGAAATATATTATACTAATATAATTTGTTAATTAAAGTTGACATCGAAGGGATTATAACAGCTGGGTCCATACGTCTAATATAATTGTAATCTGACGCCTTAATAATCGTTTCAAATATGTTATAGTTTCTCTAAAAGTTTGTTCAAGTGCGGATATCAACATCATCATTATGATTACATAATCCTGGAACAGATATTCCCTCCTACCGGCACAGTGTTGCAACTTCTCAAACATATAACAAAAATTACTGTCATGTGTATCAGTGAATAAAGACGGAGTTCGGATTGGTTGGAGCCGTACCACTGACACCACCAGCTTTATTTGTAATTAAGTTTTTTTATTATGGTAATTACGCATAGGATGCAGTAAGGAAGAACTGAAGGCTGACTTAGCCCGATTCTTGGTTTCAAGAATAGGGCCTGCTTCACTCCTACAAAGACCAGGCAGGAAGCATCCCGCAGAGTTTCCTGGAAATTCATTTCGAGAGTTGACGGACGGGATCCTTTGGTAAAGTTACACTTGACAGGTTTTGAACCCAGGAAGTCAAAAGTGGGAAGGCCCTCAGAGTACACTACTGGTATATTTTTTCAAACACCTGTCAAAAACGACGTTAGGACTTTAAAGTCCAAAGTCCCAAACTACGGCCAGTTGACTGGAGCAGTGAGAATTAGGGTAGACTCCTAAAATTCGAATTGTTCTAATCAGTCGAAATTAGGGTAGTAACTTGCAGGCGGAGCTGAAGCTGTGAAAATTTCTTGCTTCAAAGAAGGGTCAGTCTGCTAAAGGAGTCTCTGAACAACTCTCCAAGGGTACAGCCGAAAAATTAGCGTCACTGGCAGTTTGGCTCAAACGTCAAAGTTAAAAACAAAATTAACTTTTAAGTGTGTTACTGAAACCGTCGCTGAATAATTCGGCAAAATTAATTAGACGCAAAAATTAGTGTGAATCTTAATTTGGCTTAAAAGTTTAAGTGAAAGTGTAATCACTTCTAGGTGTTGTAGTAAAAGCAGACGCTAAATAACTAGCCAGGGGTCCGGTCGCAAAAATTTGGGTGATTTCAAGTTTGTTTAAGTGATTAAGGACCAATATTATTAACTGAATATCAAATAGTGCTCATTAAACAGTGTTTTGTAGTGCATAGCTATAAACACTCTTATCTTTCCCGCTAACGCGAGGCCTGTATGCACCCTGAGACTGTATCTCATTGCCCTAGTGCTAAAGCAGTACCTATCACCTGTAGTTTCCGGGTCATTCCTCCTTTTCCCCCGAAGAGTGAGCCTTTATAGTAAGCTTACTGGCACCCAAAATTCATTTAACCCATATCCCGCAAACAACCAATATCCACAATAACAACAAGAAGGGGAAGAACTGGATAAGAAGGACGCAGCAGCAACCTGCAAACTCGGAGTATCAACACGTGAGAGGGAACGGCTAGAGGAGAAGCTGCAACCCGCAACGTAGGGGCCAAAGAACGGTTAGATGGTAATTGAATTTATTAACCACTTACAGGTCGTAACTAGGACCGCGCCATAGCTCAAGCGGTTAGTCGCTGGCTTCCCACCGCGGCGGTCCGGGTTCGATCCCGGGTCTGGTCAAGTGGGATTTGTAGTGGACAAAGTGGCGCTGGGGCAGGTTTTCTCCTAGTATTTCGGTTTCCCCTGCCAATCTTAATTCCATCAATTGCTCCATAATCACCCTCACCTATCATTTTGGGCTGGTACAATAGACCAGAAGTGACCGCAGTACAAGGGACTTAGTCCCACCCCACTAACAATAAAAAAAAATAATACATGTCTTAATTACATTTAATTATGATCCTTTCAAGAATACTGTAACACAAATAAAATCTTCTATATCTGCTTACACTAGTCGCTGCTAGGTAACAGATCTAAATAGCTATTCCTCTGCAAATGTTTCCTTGTCCGTTGCCTCGCAACAGTTTCTAACACAGAACTATAACTGTCACACTCCAGATATCACTGCACTACAGCACACATAAAGTTTTCAAATCACACGCTAAGTTTTCACAGGCCGACTTCTAAGTCTTCTACTATGAACTTCCCGTGGATGTCTCCTACCGAGAATTGAATGAATCGTACCGCCGATTGTCTTCAACCTAACTCTTCTGCACGGACCCCAAGGAAAACACGGTGTTATTTTGTTAAGGATGCGTGTTTAGAGCTTCGTTGCTTAGCAATAGACGTCCTATTCTGTGCGTTTGCTTGGCACAGAACTCATATAAAACGCAGTTTCCATATTCATTGTCATTAGAATATTTACGAACATTCCTCTATTGTTGCAGAAACAGCACATATGTCACAATATGAACAATACAAATTTCGTAAAATCCAATTCCTATGAAGTGTCCCTTCATGTTGGGTCAGAGTCTGTACGTACCGCCACTGGTCTCACAACTGACGTCACATTCCGTACGTCTATTTGATTACCGCCACTGATCTGACAACTGACGTCATATTCTGACGTCTTTTCTTAATTTTTGCCTCCACCTAGTGGTGAGTACCACAATCTGCTGCCCTGAATGATTGGACATCGGAGATTTTTCGATGTGGCAAAGTTTACTACTCTAACTCCATTATCATTACTAATTTCATGCAAATTCTCATTCCCAAATGTTGGTTTGAAAAATGTTCCTTCCCTACTTTGGCATTGAAATCTCCTAACGAAACTTTCATTTAGTACGTAGGGAATTTATCAAAAACATGTTCTAGTTCTCGGAGAAACTGTCCTTTATATCACCAATTGTATCGTCTGTTGGGGCATGAACATTCATAACAATGATATCACACCAGCGACCTGTTAGCATTATATATAATATCCTATCACTAACGAACTCTACCCTCTTAACTGCTGATAAGATTCTCTTATGTACGAAAAAACCTGTACCTAATTCATGATTTTCATTCCCCTTTCCATAGAAAATTGTATAGTCTCCTGTTGGTGCAATGCCATCTCCATCCCATCTGACCTCCTGTACTCCCGCTAAATCTAACTTATATTTTAAGATTTCTTCTGCCAGTGCCCTGAGCGAACCTGCCCTATACAAACTTCGTACATTCCAAGTGCCAAATCTCATATCCATTTTCATTAGCTTATGTCGTTTATCCAAGGAATCCGTCCAGGTCCGAGGCTTTGTGTTCATTTTCGTAACAAGCTTATTATTTACGTTAAGGAGTTGTAGTCCCATGCCCAACCCCCAAGTTGGAGGACCACCCCTTGTCGGCTGTCCGCGACTGCTTATTCAATATAATCGCAGCTACCCTCCATACCTGGAGGACGTCTTCTCCATTCGCAACCTGAGGACACGCCATGCCGTGGTTACAAGGGACCCACTTAACATGACTTGGTTAAGAATACTTGGAGCTTTACCTCCATTCCCCATATATATTCAAGGCGAAGCTTACTTTAGCCTTTGCCGATTTCCGAATATGATTTCAGTAACTTTGGCCGGAACATTATAAAATCAACAATGTCTGTCCTCGGCATTAAAAGTCAAGGACTTTTGGCATGTTTTAATGTGAAGTAAATTTACATTTTATTAAGTTTCCTGTATAAAGCCGATTAATCGCGAGATCCATATCTCCGCCTGTCACTGCATGTGACTTTCATGTAACTTTGCGGAAGTTGGAACAGCAGGCAAGCCTGACGGTAGGCTGACAAGTGCACACAGCATTCACAGCGGAGCCGAGTGTAGAATGCGTGGAGACTCTTCGTTTTAGCCTAGACGTTGATATAGCAGCAGCAAAACAACCATGCTCACGAAGGCTGTGGCTATTTTACTCAGTGTCTCCTGTTATTTCTCAACCGCCACTCCCGTAAGTACTGCCACACGTTTGTCCTAATATAAGTAGCGCTTATATTTGCTTTGACGCCGTTCGAAATGGTGGATTTACAGCTCTGGAGCCCTCTATTGTATACTGCACAGCACACTCCTGTATTCACAGCAAATTGAATGTTACATTAATTTTTATAGATTTGAGTATAAAACTGTTTCCTCTCAGAATAAAGAACTCGCCAAACGAGTCTGACATAATATTTGAGCTTCCACGGTGATAAAGAAACGTATTGTGCTCTTGTGGGTTTTGATGACACCGTGCAGTCTGGTGGATTGATACCAACGTTCGGATGAACATAATGCTTCTATCCCCCTTACCAGACTACACGATGGCATAAGCCAGAAAATCAAAATATGGAAGTTCCTGATATTTACAAATTAATTCAGGCCTGTACTTTCGGAAGGGCAAACTCCTTCACATTAATTAATGTATTAGTTCCTATAAATCTTTACTGAGGTTTCTGGAAGGAAGCCGCGAAGTAGTGGCTAAAATTTTAGTTTTTACAGACGGACTGTACCAAGTCTCCAGGACATTGGCACTACGCTTGAGCCTGCCAATGAGGAAACAAGCTGAATTCTATAAGAAAATCCTTTCCTGTCGCTTGTGGTCACCTTCAGGGCACACCATGACCCGACGCAAACTGCAGGGTCTACGTCGCCTCTAATCATTCCTGAAACAAATTTGAATACCGCAGTAACGTGAGTCTGAAAGATGTTAAAATTGAGTATCTGGTTTCTGGGCAAAGTTTCCTTATTTCAAGACAATTAAAAGCATACAGCTTACAATATTCAACATTTTCAACATAAGAGAAGTCTGAAATTCTGCCCATACAAGGCTATGCTTGTACGTTCCGCATGATTGATGGAAAAAATTCCCTAAACAAAATTTATCGATTGGTCTATGTAATGGTCACTCAATGTTTTCTATGAGGTAAACATTCGATCAAGAATATTATTTAGATGAGCTTCATGCCTCGATATTATGGCATATCTGCTGAAAGCCAGAACTGTGAAGCCAACAGAGACAGCTTTTCTTAGGGAACGGCTCCGTGAACACGCCACTTGACAGGTAATGATTCTGTAGCCGTCACGTGATAGCCGCAATAAACACGCACGCAACAATAGAAGAGCTGATGAAAGCGGCGTTTCCTGTGTGGTCCGTGCCGAAGCGATTTATAACGAAGACCACATGCTATTAGCACACCACTGGAAATTTTCGAAGGCGCACGCCAGTCCGCGACTTGCACACAGCTTTCAACCTTCCGTATGTATACGATAATGTAACCAAATTGTGCAGGCGACAAGCAGAAGTCATACAGAATCATGAGAATGAACATGTTCGCAGTATAGAACACGGTGAAGCCAGGCTTAAACTTGGCGGTGGTCAAGCTTACGACCGTTCGAGTGACTAAGCTGTCGTTGTGGCGTAAGATATGCAAGTTAGGCATGATCTGCTTTGTAAAGACTGTACCAACAGAGGACTTGTGTGTAGTGCAAGGGGAATAATTTTCAATAACATGTTATATGTGAGAAATATACACTTGACGAAAAGACAAGCGTATTCATAAGAGACAAACCCATCTTCTCATTATAGAGGATGTTCATAAGGACTATTACCGCAAGAGTTCAGTTGGGAAAATATCTCTGATTAACGAACTCATTGGTGTTAAACCTCCACTCGTAAAGTAACTCTGACTTTGACTTTGACATTAACAGTCAGCCAATCAGTCGGTTGAGAGAGAGTTTTCAGGTAGACAGTCAGCTGAGAAGTGAGAAGCCAGTACGTGATGCCGGGAACAGTTCGGGAACCCAAAGGTTGGGGAAGGTCCACTGTTGTAAACTGCTACCAAGCAACGACTCGTGAAGACCATGACTGAGAACACTAATATGTGTGTAACAGTGATTTCTAAAGTGTAGTCACTAGTTGTGTGTTCCAATAAATCCGATTATCAGTCTAAACCTCGTCTATAATCACACTCGATCATGTGAGGAAAGACGCTAGTACAATAGTCTAAACATATGACAGTCAGACAGCACGATAATAATCAGTAACTAGATAAGAATTACACGACGTGTACGAACATACTGACTTGGCCCCTGTATCGGTCACTTTTAAGCCCTTGGCCTACGTTCATCACAGGTTTAAATGTCTTGGGGATGTAAAGTCGTGAAGTCCGGTGGATGTCCACCGTCGCTTCGGAGGAACATACTCTCTCTGTCTGCTGGGCCAAAGAGTGAGAAAAGCAAGACAACATCAGAGTTTGCAGCTTGCTTTCTGCTCTCTTTCTTGGCTCGCTTCTGGACCCTGAAGGTGGAGACAGTGGGCTCTTCCGAAAATTCAGTGAACGTCTGCTGGACTACATAACATCAGACCATAGAAAATGGTTGCACTCTTAGTCACCTTTGTCAGAACACCGACCCAACTTTTTTTTTATTGCTAGTAGGGTGGGACTAAGTCCTTTGTACTGCGGCCACTTCTGGCCTATTGTACCAGCCCCAGATGTTAGGTGAGGGTGATTGTGGAGCAATTGGTGGAATGAAGATTGGCAGGGAAAACCGAAGTACTCGGGGAAAACCTGCCCCAGTGCCACTTTGTCCACCACAAATCACTTGATCGAACCCGGGCCGCCGCGGTGGGAGGCCAGCGACTAACCGCTTGAGCTATGGCGCGGCCCACCGACCCAACCTACTGATCACTGTTAGGTAAGGTGTTATACTACCGAAGAAAGGAGGCTAATATGGTCACAAATTAAATTTGTTGCAATTATTACGAAAATAAGAGCGATGACAAATATTAACTTGCCATCCCTTAAAATATTATTATGCCACTTTGTCAGCGCTGGTATATTCATCGTGTTTCAGATACACGGCAATTTGCCCGCAGAAGCCGCGAAGGCGTGCCAAGAAGCGGCAGGAATAAGCGACGGTAAGTATACGGATATGGAGACCAGGCGTTGCTGGCGGGTGCTTTGCAAAAGTAGAGGGACATTCTGTAAATTCTGCTATGGGTCACAACCTTTAGAACGGCGTAACAACAATAATTCCGTTTCTTCAGCAGCCTTTCCCATCATCGCTATTTTCTGCTTGTTCTGAACTACTGAAATCAAAATCTCGCTGCTGATCTGACCATCTTCTTCCACGTCTCCTAACATTTCTTCTTCTCCGACGACTGTCTTTTATTTCCTTCCTTATTTCTCAGTATCCCCCACTCTGCTTCATTGTTCATATGGCCGGTCGCTTTAACCTACATTCCTCGGTGACGTGAAGTTCAGAATGATGTTTGTATCCTATTTCTGTTCAGCTGATGCAGAGATCCTGCAGAGGAGTGAGATTGTGAAGAACGAGTCTATAGAAGGGCACAGGGTAAGCAGTTTTTGTCATATGAGTGGCTTATGCATAATGTTGATGCGATATGATACGAATTCTATCATTTACCGACACATACATACGTATTATTTCCTTTTTCAGTGCTTCGTGGCCTGCATGCTAACCAAAAGGGGTGTGGTAAGTTGAGACACAAAACTGGTAATAATAATAATAATAATAATAATAATAATAATAATAATGTAGCGTGTAGACCCCTTTGTAATATACCAGACCCGTTTCTGGGCAACGGCTTGATAAACACGTTCCCGCGGCAACAGATATACGTACAACTGTGAAAACGGAGTCTTTTCACGCGGTCCGTGCTGAGATGTTACGAGCAAGAGATAAGTTTAGAGCTTAGTCAGACGCGGCCCTTGTTGAGGCAGGTTCCAATACCTCCACAGTAGCCCTGCGAGACGTAGGAGGCGACGAAAAGTGAGCCCAGTGCCAGGGGGTATAACTGGGCCACCCTGTTTCTGTGGTATATAATTTACGGTGACCAAGCCCTCCAGGCTGGGATAGTCATGAATCTCAGACAGTAAAATGTGGTCATGAGTCCCTCGGGACTCAGACTTGAGAATGACTGCCATGGGGAGGGGTAGGAGCAATTGTAAAAGACAGACACAGCTTCTCGCCTGAGAGGATGTTACATAAGGACTATGCCCGCAAGAGTTCAGTTGAAAAAAATATTGGTCGTGGGTCTCAAGGTGCTTGGCGCCAAAATGAACCGACTGGTGGTGAACCGCCAGTCGTAGAGTAACTCTGACTCTGAATTTAGTTGATATTTTTGTACGAGAGTCTCTGAAGAACGGACTTGAGTCCGGAGGCTGAGGAATAGTCATTGTTAGAACCGTTACCAGAAAACGTCTAGTAACAGACTGTGAACACTAGAGTGTGTATTGTAGTGAACTGTAAATAGTGGAGATTAGCGACGACGCTGCAATTAGTTGTAGTTCCGAGTTATGTGTATAAGTGTACAAAAAATCGAGTCACCAATCCAAACCTCGTCTATAGTCACACTCTAAATCGTGATGTTGATGATGATGATCATAATAATAATAATAATAATAATCAGGATGAGGTGGGCAGGTCATGTAGCACGAATGGGGGAGACGAGGAATGCGTATAGGATATTGGTGGGAAAGCCAGAAGGAAAGAGACCACAGGGAAGACCAAGGCGTAGGTGGGTGGACAATATTAGAATGGATCTTAGAGAGATAGGATGGGATGGGATGGGATGGTATGGATTGGATAGATCTGGCTCAGGATAGGGACAAGTGGAGGGCTCATGTGAACACGGTGATGAACCTTCGGGTTCCATAAAATGCTGGGAAATTCTTGAGTACCTGCAGAATTGGCGGCTCCTCAAGAAGGGCTCAGCTCCATGAGTAAGTAAGTAAGTAAGTAAGTAAATAATAATCACGAATATTCAAATATGGTTTCACATAATAGGCTATAATTATCATAAACCTATATTGCCTGTCGCGCAGTTCCTTCAGCATCGTCCCTATGAGTCGGCAATTTCTTACCAGTATTTTCAGTAGGGCCACTTCCCTTCCAAATACACGCACCAACTACCTACGTTCAGAAGCCTGCAACATTCGTCCCAGCTCTTCTTGGGCCCCGCGTGTCCAGAAGGAGAGGCGAAACGCGCGCTCACTGCGAGCGCGAGTAAATGTGCTAATTACTGATTATCGTTACGTTATGTTGGTTACTGGCCGCGCCTTAGCTCAAGCGGTTAGTCGCTGGCTTCCAACCGCGGCGGCCCGGGTCTGGTCAAGTGTGATTTGTGGTGGACAAAGTGGCGCTGGGACGAGTTTTCTTCGAGTACTTCGGTTTCCCCTGCCAGTTTTTATTCCACCAATTCTCCATCATCATAATCACCCGGGGCAGGTTACAATAGGCCAATCAGTGGCCGCCGTGCCGAGTGGGCCCAGTTGGACTCCACCACCCCAATAAGCGAATTTAATTTTTTTGTGTTGGTTATTTAACTAAGCTGGTATTATTGAGTCTATACAGGGGTGGTTAAGAAATATGTAGCAGGGGGTGGAATGAAACCTGGCAGGGGAAACCCAAGTACTAGGAGAATGATATTCTGGAGAACACAAATCCACATGACCACAACTGGGTTCGAAACTGGTCCTCAGCTTATTAAACTTGCTGACACAATTATTATTATTATTACTATTATTTACTGTACTACCACCATCACTACTACTACTTCCACTAAACTGTAAACATATTTCATAACAGACCCTTTACTACATTTGTTTCTTTCCGAAGAGATGAGGTCGCCATAAGCTACAGAATCCGCGGCAAATTGGCCATCTTACCCACTTAAACATGAGGCACTTCTCTGTACAGATGCACAACGGGAAGCTTGACATCGACATTATGATCCAAGTCTCCAAGCAAGCGTTTGCAAGCGAAGGCCGCAAATTCGACGAAGAGGCATACAGGAAAGGAGTTTCTGACTGCAACGACACAGGTAAGTGGAGCCTGTCGCGGCAGACAGCATACATGGATACCGAAACTTCGCACAGCAGCACAAAACGCAACTCATTTCTCTTTAATTGTTCTGAACACATACGGACAGACGGAAAATGCGGTAAGATATTTGATTTGGCGTTCTATTTTTCTCTGTTACTTTTGCTGAAACGCTTAAAGTAAGTAAAAGTAAAGTAAAGATATCCCTGTAACAGGCCGTGGAGGCCCATAGGGTTGTGAGATGTTGAGGTTCCCACATTTTCTAGACAATCGGTTCATAGATGGCGGCAAGGTTGTCAGCCCTACGCACCAGCCGCCCTTTACCCCCAAGAATAGTCCTGGTACTCATTTCTGTTAGAGGCTGAGCCTACCCCTGGACCATAGTGCGGCTGGAAGGATTAGGTAAAAAAAAAACCTCTCCCTCTAACAGGCCGTGAAGACCCATAGGGTTGCGAGACGTTGAGGATCCCACATTTTCTAGACAATCGACTCAAAGATGGCGGTAAGGTTGTCAGCCTTACGCGCCGGCTGCGCTTTACTCCCTAGGAAAATTATTTAATTAATTCCTGGTACTCATTTCTATTAGAGGCTGAGTCGACCCCAGGAAGGATTAGGTCAATTGAAAAAATTGAATGACCTCATCGGGATTCCGCATTTATCGTCCGGTATTAAGAAAAATTACAATGTATCTGCAAATTGTAGTACTATTATGTAACTCAGATTTCAATGAAAATCGATTTATAATGTCTCGAGTTGTTACATTAGGACTTAGAAAGAGAGAGAGAGAGAGAGAAGGACGGAGAGACGTGGCGAAGCTAAGGGGCACCTTCTTCGGAACGTTTCATTGCAGGGCGACCAGAACGTACAATATATACATCATGGAGTACTGAACTCCGACAAATTTCTGTAAATGGAGCCAGCGTTAAATGTATCAATGAGGACTGACAGGTTTCCAGACTCGATAAATAATATACGACTTTACGTGAAGGCCTATATATTCCAATATGTGTTGAGTAGGTCATGAAATATACCAGACAAAACTTGCATCCAAAAACGATAGCTTATGATGCACAGTTCTCTCACGCGCTGTATCAAGCCATAAATGCTTTGCTACCACTTCCAACCCTCTCACTGCAGTATCCAAAGGGTAATGGGAGGCTTTTCACCATTGATAAATCTGTCGGAGCGTGAAGCTGCCCATTCACTTCCTTCTAGTTCCGAAGTTAAGCTTTCGAGGAGGTACACCGCCATTCCCTATACATCTTCATGGCATGGTGCTTAATCAAGCACAGGCCTATCTTTACTCTCCTATATGTGCAGGGAACACAGCTGGCAAGCGCACGTGACAATGGCTCTCTGAATCTTGTAAGGCACCTTCACTGTGCAAACCATACCTGATACAGACACACACTGAGTCTGCTCCCGTTTTCAGAGGACTCTGGTAAGATTACAGCACAGTAAATAGCTGATTATAATGACGCAGATGAGGTATGTAATGTTTGTTTCACTCTGTGAACTTCTGGAAAATATTTCATATACTCGTATTGTCACCACCAGAGTCATCGCAATTACCATCACCGTCGTCTGTGATGTAGTTACTTAATGTGCCTGTCAGTGCAACGCGAAAAATACAATCGGAAACGTCACACAAATGTGTTAAGTACTGTACTGCCCTTCCCCGCTCCAGTGCAGTCCTGGCATGACATTTCGTGCAACATCAAGAGAAACACAGAACAAGAAATGGCGCTATCAGATACTGACTGAACTTAGCATTCACGCAGTAACGTAGCTGGTTGGGGCACTGTGCTACAAGCCGGAAGGTCGTGGGTTCTATTCCCGATAATGTCACTGGATGTTTCTATTGACCTATTCCTTCCAGCCGCATTATGGTCCTGGGATCGCGTAAGCCTTTAACAGAAATGAGTACCAGGAATATTACTGGGTGTGAAGGGCGGCCGGCGCATAATGCTGACAATCTCACCGCCATCTATGAGCCGATTGTCTGGAAAATGTGGGTGCCTCGACGTCTCACAACCCTATGGGTCTCCACGGCCTGTTATAAGGTTAGATTTATTTTTGTACTTATGACTTTAGGCCAGAATTTACCTCTGATAAATATCCATAAGGCAATGATCGTTCTTAGGCGCCTCACTTCCAGTATAGTACTTAATATGCTTGAGGTTTTCATGGTGGTATTCGAGTCCTGGGCCATGATAGTGCGTAGCCTGTCAGGTGAATACCAACATTTCGGAAGAACTTGTTGCTTCCATGTACAGGGTATAAAAATATGGAGACAGCAAAACGTTGGTACTTACGTACCAGTCTATACGGTATCAAATAGCTGAACACTGAAATATTAAATTAAATAAATTCCTCTCCTCCTCTTCAATTCAATAATTAGGTCGATAGCCTGTTCCGGCTTTATGTATTACACTTTTACATGGTCTCCCACGATCTCTTCTTCCTTTGGGCCTCCAGCCTTCCCACATATTCAAGCCAATCCTGTCTGTTATCGCCTTACTGCGCCATTCGTGGAGAACACTCCTAACTCTCTCACTGTACTAAGACTACAAGAGCATCCCTGCCTACGCCTGCAGTATGTAATATGGTTACGTCTCTTTGCAGCCGGAGAGGGCAAGTGTGTCAAGAGCTACAACACGTGGAAATGTTTCCTGCAGTTCTCAATGCAGACAATGGTAAGTTCTGCAAGACTTATGGACGTTCCTCTCTTTGTCACTAGCTCATAGCAACGGGCCAAGGGCCCATACAAGCGCATGCGCGTACGGCGCATTACCGACAGCCGAACTTTTATTATAAACGAACTGATTGAGGATATTAAAAATGGCGTTAATTAAGTAAGATGAGATTTTATGGACTGGTCTCCTCTGGCTCGAGAAAGGGACCAATTGCGGGCTCTTGTGAGCACGATAATGAACATTCGTCTTCCATAAATGGCAGGGAATTTGAGTAGCTGAACGACTGTTAGCTTCTCAATAATAACGCTAACAATTGGCTAATCTATGCAATATTTACTTACTTCATTAGATGAACTGTTATTAATTACCTAGTTCTTTTCTAAGCATTCACTTCCTACTTTAGAAATAGAATAAAATAATACGACATAATTTCCTTTGGAGAAAGAAATGAGTACTTATAACAACACGCCATCTTCACCAACAGATGAAAGAAGGAGCTGCATAGCCGCACAGGGGATGGAGTACCAGAATTTAACCAGGGACTGCAAGGAATCTGAGGTAACAGAGGGTAACTTTGCTTTTTTATGTGTTTAGAAGCCTCTAGCAAGAGTCTCAGTACTTAACACGGCACACTTGTGCGATTTTGCGACTAGCCTTAATCCGCGATCCAACACTCCAAACTCGCAAGAAAATTCCGCGATCCAACACTCCAAACTCGCAAGAAAATTCCGCGATCCAACACTCCAAACTCGCAACAAAATTCCGCGATCCAACACTCCAAACTCACAAGAAAATTGTATGTTTCCACATTTACTGGTAGTTCTATCAGTTCTCCATAACGAAGCCATCCGTGCAGAATCGTGAAAACTATAGAACAGGTACTTAGTTCTGTGGAGAACTTAGAGAGACTTACCACGAAATTAGGAAGGCCACAAAATTCCGTCGGGGCACGCTGTAACGTAGTTGGTTGAAACACTATGCTACAAGCCTGAAGATCGCGGGTTCGATTCCCGAAGAAGTTATTGGATTTTTCAACTGAACTAATCCTTCCGGCCGCACTATGGCCCTGATGTCGGCTCAGCCTCTGACAAAAATGAGTACCAGGAATATTCCTGGGTGTAAAAGGCGGCCGACGCCTAATGCTGACCTCACAGCCATCTGTGAGTCAATTGTCTAGAAAAGTTAGAAGGCTTGACGTCTCACAAACTTATTGGCCTGTTACAGGGATACCTTTAACATTTATCTTCAGGTCTGCACTACAAGAATGTCGAAGCTATCGTTGTCTGGTGTTCTTATGGGTGACCGTTTGAAGCTTAATGAACACGTTCAGTTTCCAACTCCCAGAAGACACATCCTACCATATTTACGAAGATTAGCCGATTAATTCTGTATAAGGAAATAACTGGGTATTGAGGTGATCATATGAAACATAATCACATGTATATTCTCTGAGAAACATGTACAGTTTCCGTGACGCTAAATGTACTAACCACTGTTATTTAAATGGTTCACATTGGTATTAAAATGCTGCTGTTCTTGTTCACAGGGATTTCACATGACACGTGGAGTGGAAGCGAAACATCTGCAGTGCACTGATTTCTACACGGTTACAATTTTCTATTCGTTCAGGCTCTAAACATGTAGAGTCCCCATCACTCTTTGTCAATAAATTTGAAAATGTGAATTGTAATGTCAGACTTTGACCGATATATCTACAGCCCTTAGCACCACTCCTCAATACGCATGCTTCCTAAAGTCAGATATTGGTTACGTAATGTAAACAACTGTTGTAACAATTAAAAGATTAAAAATCATATAAGTAATATATAAAATTGACCTTTCTTCCTCAGCGAACACACGACGTCCCTCTTTACAAAGAATAGATGGTTATTCCTCTTCAGAAAATAATACTTTTTACTGTGAGAACTACTCACATGAAACACAAAAATATATTGGACAGAGTTGAAAGGATTCCGACGATGGTGTATACTGTATTTCTTTTGGCTTGTTTTGGACTTCATCCATCGTCTGGTATGTAAAAGACTTGACCAGTGATTGAGACTAGCTCTTTCTAACGGGCCCAACTGAGTACGCTTATCTTTCCCTACCCACCTGAAGACGGAGACAGATCCAGTCTCCGAAACGTCGTGGTCTTTTGTCTTTTACATACCAGACGATGGATGAAGTCAAAAACAAGCCAAAAGAAGCACAAATATATTGTTTGGGAAAACTGCAGACGATTGAATTTTAAAGCAGGTGATACGTATAGAAACCACTGCGCTTTAAAAGACTTATAAACATATTGTGTGTATATATATATATATTAACTTGTATTAGTGACTTCTAGACGGAGTTTTGATAAGTGAATCGATTTATTGGTTGCTCACAAGTCGTAACTGCAATTAATTTTTACAGTCTAAGGACGTATAACACATAAATAACGCCTTCGGCGTCTCCTTACACTAGCTGTTGCTAGCAACAGATCTAAACAGCAGCTACGCCTTTACAATGGCTTCACTATGGTTTAATCCAAAGTCAAAGTCACATTGCGACTGACGGTTAGTCAGTAAGTCTTGGTGTCGAGCCCCATCTAAGGCTCATGACCAGGTATTTATTACAGTTTGACAGTTACGGTCTTCTCTTTTGTGGGTCGCCCTCTCTGACGAGAGGACGGGTCTGTCTTTTGTACATGCTGCTGGTCTCTGCCAGCGCGTTTTTCTCGGTTCCGAGTCCCTTGGGTCTCGCGACTGTATTTTACTGTCTCAGTTTTGAGACTTCCCTTTTCGTCGCTTTCTATGACTAGCAGGGTCACGGTGGAGGTATTCGACCCCGCCTCCACACGGGTTACTGCACAGACTTCCTCAAACACGATTAAACTCGACTATGTTGCCTTGGAAACGAAAGTGATTTTTGCTAGGTGGTACCGATCAACCATGAAATGCGTCTCGCCACTAAAGCCAGTTCCCAGAATGCATCCAAAATATATGTACCCTTATTTTCCTCAAGATATCGCCCATACACTTCTATTTAGGGGGATGAATTCCATAAATCGCTGACATTTAATCAACTCGTTAGGGTCGCTGGGTGTTTCGGGGCCGATCCAAAGGGCGACTATTCTTAGATGTAGACTATTTAGATTCGCCGGGCATCGAACTAGAACGGATAAGCTTGGGAATACCAAACATGCATAAAATCCGCCAGACCGCTGAGGAACACATCCATCCATATTTCCAGCCACACATACACACATACATACATATGCCTACTGACGTCATTCCAAAAACGGCTCTCATGTTAAAGAGAGTAGAGGACGTACAAATCCCTCAAAATCAACAGTAAGATTTTTTCTTTTTGCGTTTATAAAACTTTCTCATTCGCATTTCGTCGGCAGGGACGTCAGAGAGGAACTGAAAGTGAACAGTTATATGTTTTGTAAGACCGCGGCATAGCTAAAGCGGTTAGTCGCTGGCTTCCCACCGCGGCGGTCCGGGTCTGGTCATGTGGGATTTGTGGTGGACAAAGTGGCGCTGGAGCAGGTTTTCTCCGAGTACTTCGGTTTTCCCTGCCAATCTTCATTCCACCAGTTGCTCCACAATCACCCTCCCCTATCATCTGGAGCTGGTACAATCGGCCAGAAATGACCGCAGTACAAGGGACTTAGTCCCACCCCACTAGCCATAAAAGAAAATATATATATTTTGTACCCAGAACAGGGGGGGCACGCGGTAGCGTAGTGGTTGAGGAGCTATGCTACAAGCCGGAAGGTCGCGGGTTCAAATCCCGATGGGGTCACTGGATTTTTTTCATTTGACCTAATCCTTCCAGGGGTTTACTCAGCCTCTAACAGAAATGAGTACCAGGAATTAATTAAATAATTTTCCTGGGTAGTAAAGCGCGGCCGGCGCGTAAGGCTGACAAACTTACCGCCATCTTTGAGCCAGTTACCTAGACAATGTGGGACCCTCAACGTCTCACAACCCTATGGGCCTTCACGGCCTGGTACGGGGATAGCTTTACTTTTCTTTTTTTTTACTCAGAACAGGGAAAATTGCATGACATGACATTGCATTCACAGATAAACAATAAGACAGAGGTTCCCTGAGACGCGCTCACACCGCACGGCGTCACAGCCAGAAATGCAATTCATAGAAAATTACAGACCTATCTGGATATACGGCATTACTCAAACGTGAGCTCAAGAATGCCTTTCCAGTTGATCCCTCACAAATCAAAAGTCTATACAAACACAGGCATGAGACCTTAACAGATCTCTAGCCTTAACACGTGGGAGGCTTATGGTGATAGGCATGGTGGTATTGCTGGTGATAACGAACTGTTAAGCTACATAGTTCTCTCCTGGAAATGCCAGTCCCAAGCAACATTCTACTGATGTAGAATCGAGCAACTGAATTAGGACAGGCTGCGTATTACGAATCTTTTGGGCAATTACCTGGCAACGGCCTTTGTTTATTGAACCATTACTTAGCAACGGTTAAGTTGTTGCCTAGCAACCGGTTTATACACCACAATAGTTAAGTGTTTGAAGCACAATGGTTACTATATGTACCACCTACTTACACACTGAAAATATCAGTACCTTTACAACAGAGTGTGTTTGCGTGTTTCATATGATTCTGACAATAATCGAGTCATTTCCTTAAACAGCATAGATCAGTCTTTGTAATGAAGCCGTAATGCGTTTCTCATGAGACAAAAACTTAATTTTTTTATTACTACATAATATCATTTCATATTTTGCGGAGCAAATGTTAGTGCAACACAATGAGACACAAAAAAGCGATGAAATTATCAGGCCTGTGCAGGTTTCGTTGTTATGGAACGAGGAAGTGGCGCTATTTGCGTGGATGCTTTGCACCGCGTTGTCGTCACGGCTGTGTGATGCAGAACTACAGGCGCGCTACGCTCCAACCGGTCACAAACCCCAGGTTCAGATTCATTCCTTGTGATAAAACACATTTCCTTCTAGAAGAAAAACAAATGAAAGCAGTGCTAGAGCAGTTCGAACTCCTACTTCCTAGTCCCAAGGTTCTAGAGCAGTTAGAACTCCTGCTTCGTAGTCATAGGGTTCTAGAGCAGCTTGAACCCCTGCTTCATTCTCACAAGGCTCTAGAGCAGGTAGAACTCCAGCTTCGTAGTCATAGGGTTCTAGAGCAGCTCGAACCCCTGTTTCATACTCACAAGGTTCTACAGCAGCTCGAACCCCTGCTTCATACTCCCAAGTTTCTAGAGCAATTCGAACCCCTGCTTCGTAGTCATAGGGTTCTAGAGCAGCTCGAACCCCTGCTTCATACTCACAAGGTTCTAGAGCAGCTCGAATCCCTGCTTCATACTCACAAGGTTCTAGAGCAGCTCGAATCCCTGCTTCATACTCACAAGGTTCTAGAGCAGTTCGAACCCCTGCTTCGTAGTCATAGGATTCTAGAGCAGCTTGAACCCCTGCTTCATTCTCACAAGGCTCTAGAGCAGGTAGAACTCCAGCTTCGTAGTCATAGGGTTCTAGAGCAGCTCGAACCCCTGCTTCATACTCACAAGGTTCTAGAACAGCTCGAATCCCTGCTTCATACTCACAAGGTTCTAGAGCAGCTCGAATCCCTGCTTCATACTCACAAGATTCTAGAGCAGTTCGAACTCCTGCTTCGTAGTCATAGGGTTCTAGAGCAGCTCGAACCCCTGCTTCATACTCACAAGGTTCTAGAGCAGCTCGAATCCCTGCTTCATACTCACAAGGTTCTAGAGCAGCTCGAATCCCTGCTTCATACTCACAAGGTTCTAGAGCAGTTCGAACCCCTGCTTCGTAGTCATAGGATTCTAGAGCAGCTTGAACCCCTGCTTCATTCTCACAAGGCTCTAGAGCAGGTAGAACTCCAGCTTCGTAGTCATAGGGTTCTAGAGCAGCTCGAACCCCTGCTTCATACTCACAAGGTTCTAGAACAGCTCGAATCCCTGCTTCATACTCACAAGGTTCTAGAGCAGCTCGAATCCCTGCTTCATACTCACAAGATTCTAGAGCAGTTCGAACTCCTGCTTCGTAGTCATAGGGTTCTAGAGCAGCTCGAACCCCTGCTTCATACTCACAAGGTTCTAGAGCAGTTAGAACTCCATTGTTCCTATTTCCAGCCAGCTAAATCCAGCATACAATTTCTCGCGATATGTGCTCATTTTTAGGTTGCTTATTTAACGATATCAAAATCGAGACATCAACAACAGGGTGTTTAGTGAGCGTGAAGCAGCCGGTGAAATGAGAACTGGTATGGGAATCGAAAGTACTCGGAAAAAACCAATCTCAGTGTCTTTTAGTCTACAAAAAATTCCACATAACATACCCCGGAATCGAAACCGGGTCACTGTGTTGGGAAGCAGCGACTAACTGCCTGTGCTGTGGCACGGTGCATGCGTTTAGGATCACTTTCAATGTGATTCCTTTAAGCTTATATCTTCCAGAAGCCTCTTTCTTTCAGGGTTCCCGAACATAAAACTCTGCATGTGTTTCTCGAGCATGCTACACGTCCAGCCATCTCATCTTTATTGATTTCGCAAGTCTAATTGGACCACTACTTAGTAAAGAGTAAATATTATGAAATACCCTTTATGCATCTGTCTCTATTCTCCTTTTTTTTATTGCTAGTGGGGTGGGACTAAGTCCCTTGTACTGCGGCCACTTCTGGCCTATTGTACCAGCCCAAGATGATAGGTGAGGGTGATTGTGGAGCAATTGGTGGAATGAAGATTGGCAGGGGAAACCGAAGTACTCGGAGAAAATCTGCCCCAGCGCCACTTTGTTCACCACAAATCCCACTTGACCAGACCAGGGATCGAACCTGGGCCGCCGCGGTGGGAAGCCAGTGACTAACCACTTGAGCTATGACGCGGCCTCGTTCTCCTGTTACTTCTCAAACACCCTCAATCTATGTCTCTCCATTAAACTAAGAGACAATGCGGATATATGAGCCGGCAAATGAATGGAATGGTTTATTCGCGGCTCGCTGTAATACCAAGAGGAAATATAATGTTAATATCTATGTATCTGGTGCTTCCCCCCTTTTTAGCACAGATATATTTATGGTATTTATTGTAGTGCCGTGAATAGGTCGGAAACAGTCACGAATCGCCTGCAGCCGTGCCGTGCGAGGGGCCCCTGCAGTGAGCAACACACCTTACTGAGACATGGAGCTGAAGGTTGTGCTGCTGCTTATCACTGCGCTGTACTGTCACACAGATGCGGCACCGGTAAGTTACATTACAGCACAGTGGCAACTTGCTTTAACGTCTAAATACGTCCATATTTTGCCCACAGTGTATTTACGTGTTCTGTATAATTGTCAGAGCAAACCGCGATTACGCCCCTAAACAGAATTAAGAGGTTGGTGGTTGTTATGGAGACACAATGTTTCTTGAGAGGTACGATCTCATGTTTTAAAACACATTTCGACGACCTCCTGACTTGATAATTACATGGCAGACTTATAGTCAGTGATGGTCTTGTAAAGATAAGAAGTAAAACCGGCTGAATAAGGCTTCCATAACAATTCCTGATTACTCTGTGTGCAAGAAACAGTCACGACTTACTTGTGACAAGACAATCAAGTTGATGTGCAGTAGTACGGCAAACGTAAAACTGCTCTGTGCTGAATTAAGCATCACATCATCAGACGTGGAGGCACAGAACAACTTCTGCAATTTTTTTTAATGCTAGTGGGGTGAGACTAAGTCCCTTGTACTGCGGCCACTTTTGGCCTATTGTACTAGCCCCAGATGATAGGTGAGGGTGATTGTGGAGCAATTGGTGGAATGAAGATTGGTAGGGGAAATCGAAGTACTCGGAGAAAACCTGCTGTAGTGCCACTTTGTCCACCACAAATCCCACTTCACCAGACCCGGGATCGAACCCGGGTCGCCGCGATTGGAAGCCAGCGACTAACTGCTTCAGCTATGGGGCGGCCAACGTCTGCCATAGGTGGAAGTGAATGGTCGTACATCTTCAGACTTCGGCCGTTTTAACATCGATTCCCATTGAATTAGAGGATGGTTGGTAGCCAGGTCATTCGAACAAAGTAGTGAAGGAAGAAACTCTGCCACATCTGGGAATCTAACATCCACTGCCTGTGCTTGTAGTTGCTGTAATAATCTACAGATTCTTCCGAATAATACTCAAATATTCATTTCGTACCTCACAGAAAACACCGCGTCTTCCTTACAATCATCAACTGCTCGAAGATGTTTGTTGTGTAGCCGCGTGTTCTAAGGCATGTACTGTTTTCGCTCGCTCGGACGCTGGGATCGTGGGATCGAATCCTACTCAACGCATGCTTGTTTCGTGTGTGTATGCGTTTATTCTGTTTGTGTTGTCCTGTGTTTAAGTAGCGGCCTTGCGACGGGCTGATCACTCGTCCAAGGAGTCTTACCGTCTGTAAGGAACTGAATAAGAGGGCTAGGCCTTGAAGAGACTGGAAGAGCCATTAAAAGAAAATTCTGTTTATTGTACAGTACGAAACACACAAATACAGTGTCTGAGCAAAACGATGTCTTCTAATGTTGAAGAAGGCGGGACTTAGAGTTCTTTAAATGATTAGGTAACTAATTGAAAATATACAATATTATAATATATACAGGAACTTCCAATGAAATGTCTGGATTTCTATGCAATTAATAATTTTATCTGTCAGTTATGAACCGTTAAAATACATCATTACATAACCAGTACATGTATTTATTTGTGTTTTGTCTACATCACTGTGGCAGCGCACAATACAACAGCTGAATGGTAGGATAGGATTTGGAAGGAGACAATAATTGGCTAATATAAGGCACTATTTGTGAATCTGAGAGTAGAGGCTGGAATTCCCAGTCAGGATAATGGGTGTACCGGTCGAGACTCGAGCCAGGAACTCATGAATACAAGCCTGAAGCTTCACCGCTTAAACTAGCTTTCTCAGTCGATTTAATATACAAATATAATCTTTCTAACTTCGTCACGCTTGTACAGAATCTGAAGACATGACAGTCTTTTGCGCGTTTGAGACGAAACATTGCGAGCAGAGCCGTGTTCCTGTTAATTTCGCCTTGTCTGTCTGCCTGTCTGGTTTCAGTCTCATTGCATGGAGCCACTCGAGAACCGGAGATCGCATTTGCATAAAATCTGATCCTGATAGTGGCAAGTTTTACTAAACTTTATTGACTAAAATATGAAATCGCCGGTCACGGTAGCCGAGCGGTCTAAGGCATGTACTGTCTTTGCTCGCTGGGAAACCGGGATCGTGGGTTCGAATCCCACTCAGGACATGGATGTTTAGTGTTTGTGTGTGTGTGTTTTTCTGTGTTTGTGTATAGGTAGAGGCCTTGCAACGAGCTGATCACCCGCCCAAGGAGTCCTACCGAATATGTAAGATCTGAAAACCCGCAGTGAACGGAGAAGTTCATGGAGGTAGGCCTAGGCCCACTGGGGCTGTAGTGCCAAGGAAATATGTGAAAACAATGTCTGACACTTCGAGGACACCTACGTTCGTTTCTGAGTGCATCTTCAGCGTAACTCGCTAAACATTTATTGAAGCGATGTTTCGAAAAATATATTTGAGAAACATGGGAAACACATTTTATTTGCAAAACAGTTTCCCGTACATACGGGATCGCTGTTTCCGGTCTCTACATACAGTGAAATAGCATAAGTATTGGGTGAGATTTACAGTAACACGGTGCCACGTCTGAGCGCTGCAGTCGCTGGTTGCAAGCATTACTAATTCTTCCTGTAAGTGGCTCTGTCAATTAGTCTCCTCTGTCGCCATCTGTCGTAATTTCATAAAAATTGTTTGTTTGGATGAGACTGAAGCCCATATATATATAAACGCTTTACGAGATATCGATTGGATTGTGAATGCAGGGAGTCCCTACTCATTAAACACAATAATTGTTGTGTCCTGACATCTCATAACTCCACAAGTCTGGAGACAACACAGGACTCAAGAAGCACAATAATAACGGCATGTGTACATGTATAGACTTTTTAACTGTCCTCAGAATTAAAGCGACCTAACATTTCGGAACACAATCTCTTTCAGACATATGAAGACATGACTAAAGATGCTGTGTCATCGTGCCAGAAATCATCAGGAATATCTGATGGTAAGTTACAGCTGTGTTTAGAACTAGTAACAAATTGCAGAATCCATCCTTCGAAGATTCAATTCCTTTAAATATTATAAAGGAATTAAGTCCGTACCTCACAGGAAACAAATTACGTCTCCATCTTAGGGGTGGAAGGGTAATGGAAATCTGGTATCAAAACTACACGGCGTCACATTCCAAAACACGCTGTCTCAGTATTCACCAGAGTGGGAACTCCGAACTCCATACGATGCCCGTGTGTAATACATTTCCTTGATGCCTTTGGATCTGAATTTTTTTTTAATACGCTTAGTGGGGTGTGGAGTCCAACTGGGTCCACTCGGCACGGCGGCCACTGATTGGCCTATTGTACATGCCCCCGGTGATTATGATGATGGAGAATTTGATGGAATGAAGATTGGCAGGGGAAACCGAAGTACTCGGAGAAAACCCGCCCCAGCGCCAATTTGTCCACCATAAATCCCACTTGTCCAGACCCGGGATCGAACCGGGGCTGCCGTGGTGGAAAGCCAGCGACTAATCACTTGAGCTGTGGCACGGCCCAAGTGAAATATTTGTCTGAGACTGTTATCGGCGGTGCAGGTGTGGGAGGACAGTATGGATGTGACGTGGTTCCCATTTCAAGGAAAAATTCTTAAAATAATTGTAATTTTGCTCCAGCTGAGGCGCAGGAACTCGAGAAAACCAAGATAGTGATGGACGAGTCAAAGGATTCACAGAAGGTAAGACTTGCAACATACACACACCCTTCTTCTTGCGTTTTTGGAGTTGCACTGTGTCACGTATTGAAATGTTCTCATTTGCACCGACCTGCAGGAAACACTGGGGGAATCTGGTTTCCGGTAAATTAACGACTCTCTCATTACTTCCAGTTGGTAGGATCATTAACGAAGAACTGCGTGAAAATCACGTGGAAGAAACCCTAATTTGAGGTACTATCCCACCTTGTGCATGGACTGAAGAAAATCGCTAAGATAACAGTCAGAACAGTCCGTGTTGCAACTTAGATTCGAACCGGGGACCTCCAAATTATTGCTGTTTATCGGCGACTAAACCAAGCCCATCGCCCCCCACACACACAAAAAACTCACTGTTTTTCCCTTTGTCATTACTGCACTCAGGGTGATTCGCAACTCTGTGGAGCGCCTCTCGAATTTCCTCTGATCGTCAGTCTGCATGTAAGGACGACATAGCTGGAGAACCTCTGAATGGATCCTCACGAAATTTGTTATTTGGAAGTCTTGTTGCAATTGTCGACTAGTTACTAATTAGGATTACAATCAGACATAAAAACGGATAATTAGCATGAAAGAATACACGAAATTGTTGAGCGTAACTCGCTAAATACTCACTGCAGCTAGTAACAGTTCGAATAAAAGTTTTGAGGTAATGTGAAACACACATTTTGGGCCCATTTTTTCCCCCATTTTTAAGGCTTCCCGTATTCGAGATAATGAAACAAGAATCGTCCTATTTTTCCAAATTTGTTTACTGGGAAATGAACTACTGTATTACCTTTGGAATACACGCGAGATAAGACTTACCTGGGTAAGACAAAGCTTTGGTCCGCCAGAATTTATAGGCCTACATGTTCATAACCAAATATTAATTAAAATAAAAGTTTTCACAAAAAATTTATAATTTATTTTAGCTTTTCTCCATAAATACCTATAGTACTTGATCTTATAGCAGTTAATAGTTGAGAATATGTGTCAACATGACATTTAAGCTTGCCGCCTGATCCTCCTGTTTTATTGCTTGGCTTACTCTTCGTCCCTGAACATGGTGGTGATATTTTCCTCCGAAACGTCGAGCTCTCTCCCAAATATACGGTGCTACAACTCAGAAAATCCCGCTCTTTATACTGTCTTACTTATCTCTCGTCTTAATTTTTCAGTGCTTCGTCGCCTGTCTGATTTCCAAGCAGAATATTGTAAGTACCGATTCAGTTATCAGTGGTCTATATGTATGTGGCATATGTAAATATAGATTTATGTAGTTATAAGATTGTCTCCGCTTATAAACACTTACATACACTATCATTAGCAGCGTCTGGAGACAGTAAAGTTAGAAAAACAATACAAACAAATATTCTAAGTTCCACTACAGCTTTGTACATACACGTAGTGCTGCATTTTGAAGCGTTTACTGTACAGAGACATCTATCGGTGCTAGCAGTGACTTACCGTACATCCTGATCCACAAAATCCCACCCTGGCAGAAAGCACTGCACCTTCGTTACGCACGTACATATTTAAGGGGGCCCATACACGTACGAGTCTGGCTCGCGAGTCCGACTCGGCTCGGGTTCCAATGAGCCAAACTCGTACGTGTGTGGGTCGCCACGCTCATACGTGTGTGGTGAAATTAATCCGAGCCGGACTCGGGAACCAGACTCGTACGTCATGCATTTAATCAGAGGGATGTGAGACATCTACAGTAAGATTCGAGAACTATGTAAAGTGGTCTACCGGACTATGGCATCGTCTGATCTTGTACGTAACGCCCATCGTTGTGGAGGAAGGCGATGCTTCCTTTTACAGGATAAAAAAATTTGTATCCGCCTACTACACTATACGGTATCCCACAATCTGAAGTGCTTATGAAATTCCTGAGAGAAGGATTAGCACAGACACGAAATCCCGCCGTTAGAAACTGCGCATTATGCTTAATTACAGATTAATGCTAATTGTTACGGGGAGTTCTGTACCGTCGTTTCGTAGGTATATATCAACTCCATTTTCAGGGTCGAAGTGTAAGAAACCAGCATACTGCTGCCTGCTTCATGCTCCTTCGGCTCACTCTTCCTCCCTGAAGATTCAGGCGAGATCTTCCTCCGAAACGTCAGTTCACTTTTACCGCACTACAGGCTGTTAGATCCACTTCTAATGCGAATTACTGCTCACATTCATTACTGGTAAAATTATTCCGCCATTTTGTTAAAACAAACTCTGGGTCAAATCCGTGGTGCATCGTGCTTATTGAGAAGCTTATTGTTGTGCAGCTCCTCAAGAAGTTCCTAACCACTAATGGAACCAGTTCATTGCTGTGTTCACATTGCTGCCCATTTTCTGCCAGATGAAACAGCCGACACACTCACATCCTATTGAAGATCCACTTTAATATTATCCTGTCCTTGCAATATGCCTATGGTAGTCGCATAAAACTGCATTGCGGTCAGCAGGTCAGAAAATAACCTGAAAATGGAACATGAGCCTCGGCAGGATAAGTTCAAACAGGAACTTCAGCATCGGGAGAAGGCCGCGTAAAATGCTGAAGGATTTCCAACGTTTCGGCGAATATTTCAGTTGCCACCTTCAGGGATAATATCTTTAATGCCAATTTTGAAGGCCTATTAAAATGAAAAGTGTAGTATTTCTGAAACTTTGGAGAAACTTCAACGTTCTACGCTGCTTGTTCCCGAGCAAAGGTGACACACTGAGGCGCATGCGCAGGAAGTGATTCAGATGCCGCTGAGATGATGCAGGTTCATACAGAAGGTTTTGTTTCGCCAGATGACGGGAGGCAAGCTGAATGTGGACTTCTTGGTGATGGTTATGAAAATTTCGAGGCCAGAGAACGGAAAGAAGTTTGATGAGCAAGAGGAAGTGAAGTACCGGAAGGAGGTTGGCGACTGCAATGAACGGAGTAAGTTCACACACACACACACATACACACACTTACATAAGTTAGACCAGAGTTTTTCAACCTTTTTCAACTCACGACACACTGAACATGACGCTAAAATTGTTGAGGAACACCATAAATTTTTAAATGAGACGTTTTATCATTAAAGACAAGTAATAAGCTTGTGTTCAATAGCAAAAATTCTTGAGTTTGATTTGTTTCATTCTGGTCCGTCACACTAACAATTACAAATATAAATCACTCCGTCCAATGTGACCTGTAAGTTTTTTACTACATGAAAACTTAACACCCTTACATGTTTCGGTCTCTGTGGACCATCTTCAGAGGGCAAACATCACTACAAATAGGAAACCACCATCACATAAGTTGTTTAGACGTAAAGTACGTATACTTATATGTTACAATACATAGTACACAAAATAGAACATTTCACAAACACAGCGGTTTCCTGGGAATGTAAAGTTTTTTTATAAAATTGTATAAAATTTCTTGATGCTAATTAAAATTTTTTTGGATTGTCAATAATTAAAATTCGTAAACCATGCAGTGAAAACAGCACAGCAGCCACG